TCCATTGCAACAATGAGATGTACAAGTCATTATGTCGAAAACGAACTTTACAACTTTGGTAGAGGGTGGAGGAGGGTTGGGGGTGGGGGAGGATGGGATGGGAAGGGGAAACAAAGGAGGAGGCTACAATGCTTGATAAGAAATGTACTCATTATCTTGCCCATGTAATTGTAACCCCTCTGTACAGTATTTTCACAATAAAAAAAAATCAACTTGAAATGGATCAGACATTAATGCAAAACTTGGATCTTTGAAACTACCCGGGGAAAATATGGGGAAACACTTCAAGATACAAGCATAGACAGGGCTTTCTGAAAAAGTCTTCAAATAGCTTAGGAAATAAAAGCAAAAATTGACAAATGAGATTGCATCAAATTAAAAACCTCCACACAAAGAAAGAAACATGGACAGAATGAAGAGACCGCTGACACAATGGGGAGAATCGTTCCCAGCTTTTCATCTGAGGAACAAATATATATGTATATGTGTATAAAGAATTCAAGGAAAATATATAAAGAATTAAAAAATTAACCCCCCAAATAACAATCCAATTAATAAATGAGTGAATGAACTGAACAAGGACCTTTTCAAAGAAAGAACAAATAGCCATTAGTTACATTTAAAATTTTTAAATAACCTGAGCCCTACAGGAAATGTAGAACAAAACCACTAAAATCCCACCTAACCCCAATCAGAATGGCTATCGCCAAGCAAATGATTAACAAATGCTGATGAGGATAAGCTTAAAATATGGCATTTTACTCACTGAAAGTAGGAATAAGTAAACAGTGCAGCCACTGTGGGATTCTTCAAAAAATTACCGATAGAATTGGCAACTGATCTAGCCATACCATTCCTGGGTATATGTCCAAAGGAGTCAAAGTCCATATACTCTATAGATATTTGCAAACCCATGTTTATAATGGCACTATTCACAATTGTCAAATTATACGGAATTAGCTCATGTTCCCATCAATGGATGAATGAGCACACACACAATGGAGTTTTATTCACCCATAACAGGCAGGCATGGGAATATAATGGTGAGAGTGAATTTCTTCAAAGTACTCTAAACACAGCAATGGAATTATTGCAAGGAACCCTCCATACTATTAAAGTATGTTAACTCAAAGTTCAATGTTTTTGTGGGAAAAAAAGAATGAAATTACATCTTTTGCTGCAAAGTAGATGAAAATGGAGATCATCATGTTAAGTGAAATAAGCAATACTCACAAAACCAAGTTATTGCATATGTCTCATTTGTGGAAGCTAGGGGGAAACAAAGCAAAACAGACAATGTCATGAAAGTAGAAGAAAGGCCTGCTAAGAAGGTGGAAGGGAAAGAGTAAAAGGTGAGACAAAGGGAAAGATAATAAATAGGGATAATAGATAGCAATAGATTGTGTTAATATAATCAAAGCACATTATATGTGTGTATGGAAATGTCCGGATGAAATTCTTTACCGTATACAATTGACTATATGCCAATATATGATGGACTATTGGATGAGCTCAACCCTAATCTCAAGAAAGAAGTTGAATCTAGTTAAAAGTAGCAGAGTTCTCCAATCGAATACAATGCATATAATCATTAAACAACCAAAAATTAAAGCACATTTTATATGTGTTTGAAAATGACAATTAAAACCCTTATTTTGTGCACTTAATATACACTAGAAAAAACATTAAAATAAATTGCCACCTACACCAAGAGGCCCTAATTGACAATTCACAGAACGTTTCAGCAGTCGTAGAATTCATCTTTTCAGCAACATATGGAACACTCTCTAAGATGAGTTAGACCACAGAACAAGTCTTACCTAATTAAAAAAAACACACTGAGATCAAATAAAGTATTTTTCCTGACTACAAAAGAATAAGAATCAACAGTAGTATGAACTTTGGAAACTATGGTAAACATGGAAATTAACATGCTTCTAGGAAACCAATACATTAGAGAAAGAAATCTTAATTTTTCTTGAGATTCATGAAATGAAAATACAACTTATCAAAACTTGTGTAGTACCACAAAAATAGATTTAAGAGGAAAGTCTGTAGCAATAAGCACCCACATCAAAAAAGAAGGAAGATTTCAAATCAGTATCTTAACACTGTACATCATGGAGTTAGAAAAACAAGAACAAAATGAACATAAAATCAATAGAAAGGAAGAAAATATTCAGAGCAAGCATAAATGAAATAGAAATCTTTAAAAGCAGGGCCTGGGAAGGTGACTCAGTGGTAGAGCGCTTGCCTTGCATGCCCGAGGCCCTGGGTTCGATTCCTCAGCACCACATAAGCAAAAAGAAAAAAGCCAGAAGTGGCGCTGTGGCTCAAGTGGTAGACCGCTAGCCTTGAGCTGAAGAGCTGAGGGACAGCGCCCAGGCCCAGAGTTCAGGCCCCACGACCGGACTCGCCTCCCCCCCAAAAAAGTAAAAGCATTACAAATGGATGGGATGGGAGAAGAAAACTGGGAGAGAGTGAGGGAAGGGGTGACATTGTCCAAAAAGAAATCTGTGCATCACCTTTATAATAACAATAAAAAATGAAAGCATTGCAGATGGGTAAAATAAAGAATTAGTTTTTTGAAAAGATAATATTTATAATCCTTTGGACTAAGAAGAAAAGACAGAGGCTCAAAAACAGAGACTAAAATGGGGACATCAAAATTGAAACCACAAAAACAACAAAAGACTATGTGTGTGTGTGTGTGTGTGTGTGTGTGTGTGTGTGTGTGTGTGAGTGAGTGAGTGTGTGTATAAAACAAAGGACTTTTTTAATCTTTAAAAAGACTTTTAGCTAGGATTTGTGTCTCATACTGGTCATTCTGACTTCTCTGGAGGCTGAACACTGAACATCCCAATTCGAGGCCAAGCTGGGCAGAAAAATCTAAGAGACTCTTGTCTCCAAATAACCAGCAAAAAATGCTGAAAGTAGAGATGTGGCTCTAATGGTAGAGCACCAGCCTTGACCATAAAAGCCAACTGAGAGCTCAAGGACCTGAGTTAAGCCCTAATACCAGTACCAAAAACAAGAAGAGACCGATAACATTCCTAGACATAACAAACTATTGAAACCCAATCATGAAGAAATAGAAAACCTAACAGAGCAATAATGAGTAATGTAATCAAATCAATAATAAAAATCTCTCATCAAATAACAGTGTAGGACTTGTTGGTTTCACTGCTGAGCCATATCAAGCTTCTGAAGAACAAATTGGTAACTCTTCTCAAACTACTAAAAATCTGAAAAGGAGGAAGTATCTTCCAAACTCATTTTATAAGACAAGTATTACCTTCTAAGTATACACAATTATTATGTGTCAATCTTTTTTTCAATTTGAACTTTTTTTCAGAGTTAATATAGTGTCTTTATGACTACCTCCAGAGTGACTACAATTTACTTCCAAAGCAGGCATTTTAGTCTTTCATTTTCTCTCCTAGACCTGGCTCCACAGACAGATGATTCATTCCATGTCACTTTTCCTATGACCTTCCTGAAAAACCAGAAATACTTCTTCTTTATTTCTACATCTACTTCAAATACTGAAAGGCTGAACCAATTAATTGGAACCAAAGATTAGGGCAAAGATTGGCAAATGAGCATGATTTTGATTGTTTCTGGTCTAGTGCTTCTTCTTGACTTTCTTAATCCATCATGTCCTTAAAGGCCTAAGGCCCATAGCAACCATACCACAAGGGATGGACAACCAGTGGGGACAAACTCAGGTCACAACTGTCAAACAGTAGGCATGAAAAATATGTTAAGCCAGAGATTTTCATTACAAATCCTGGAATGAAGGCAGAGCAGTTTTCCAAAAGTCCATTTCCTTAAGGTAGGGCCTATTTTCTGTATAAAACTCCATGTAGCCATGGAGTCTGCACCAGCAAAGAGAGTCCAGAGAGCTCCTTCTTCCTTCTGAGGTAAGAGACCACACCGAGAACTGAATATTCACCGTATGCTGTTTTTATTTAGTTGTGTCTTCTTGAGCATCTAAGGATATATTTATCTTATATTTGACATGGCTGGGGTTTTTTACTTCCCTCTCAGATTATAGTGGTGGGAGTAAAGATCAGAAATATAGGTTGGTATCTGTAAAAATTGAGAGTAAGTTCAGAGAAAGCTCTGGATAAGGCACTAGGCTCAAGATTCAGCCGCTTCTGAGAATACAAGTAAGACAACATGGCCTTCTCCCACCTGCTTCTGAGTCTTCATATTTAAATTGTCCCTCTAGCTTTGTTGAGAATTCTCAGTACCAAAGGTGCTTCATGATTGATTTTTTTTGATGTTCAAATGTTAAATGACTACTTGCTTCACAAGCCTAGGATCCACCAGAAAATGTCATCTATGGGAGTAGTTGCCTAATATATAGTGTGGAAAATAGTGAGAAAAAGAATGCAGGAAACTTGCTGGAGGACAGATGAAGAGTGACGTTGAGTCTGGCAGTGGCGCTGAGGGGATCATGCGGAGGCAGCAGGAATACTGTAGAAAGCACATGACAGGCAACACGTGCACAGAAACTCAGAGGTGGATCCCATGGGTTCATATAGAGATTCATTTCCAGTTTTCCTGAAGCACTCTTGGGGATGGACATGATTGGGTAGACTCTAGACCTTTTGCCCTCTCATCTTTTGAATTATTATAAACTTGGGGCCTCACAGCAATCCTCTGAGCCTGCTGTTGTGATGAATGGCTTGTGTTGAGATCTTATGTTGTGTACAGGTTGTCTCAGATGCATTCCGTAGAAAGGAAGCAGAGAGAGAAGTGCTCCACCCACATGGGGCTCCACACATCACCTTTATCTTTTACTTTAAAATTGTGTGGGAACCAGGAAAGCATCCTATGTTCTGAATTCAGAGAAACAGAAAGAAGGAAAAGAGGGTTTCTCACTTCTGAAGGGATGTGCAATGAGAGAGATGTACGACTAAACAGACCATGTTACTCTGTCCTCTAAACCACTAACTCAGCTTTCTGTCCCTAGGTTCAGCATCCTCTGAAGCATGAGTTCCTACCAGCAGAAGCAGCCCCTTGTTCCACCCCCTCAGCCTCAAGACCAGCAGAGGAAACAGCCCTCCCAGCCTCTACCAAAAGTACCCTTTGTTCCCATCACCACGGAACCATGCCACCCAAATGTTCCACAACCTGAGAACACCAAACTTCCTGAGCCAGGCTGTAGCAAGGTCCCTGAGAAGGGATACACTATAGTCCCTGAGCCAGGCAGCACTGTGGTCCCTGGACCATGCAACACCAGTGTCCCTGATCCTGGCTCTGCCACAGTCCCAGGGCCATGCAATGCCAGCGTCCTGGAGCCTGGCTATACCATAGTTACTGGGCCGTGCAATACCAGTGCCCCTGTGGCAGGCTGCACCACAGTCCCTGAGCCAGGCTATTCAAAGGTTCCTGGGCCTGGTTATGCCACAGTGACTGGGCCATGCAATACCAGCATCCTGGAGCCTGCCTATGCCACAGTGACTGGGCCATGCAATACCAGCGTCCCTGTGGCAGGCTGCACAGTCCTTGAATCCGGCTATGCAAAGGTTCCTGAGCCAGGCTACACCATGGTACCAGAGCCAAGCCAGGCCAAGGTTCCTCAGTCTTGCCCCTCAGTAGTCACTCCAAGCCCAGCTCAGCCAAAGACCAAGCAGAAGTAATGCTGTCTACAGCCAGACACTTGAGGAGGTGACCACCAGCGGATGAACACACTCTTCCCATGGCCTTCTACATCCTAATTATCTGGACACTTTATAGTCAATACATTACCACTTTGAATCATGGTTTCTATTTTTATTCTGAAGAATCTGTCCTTTCGAATCTTTCCTTACACATGCTCTATAAAGTCTGCAAGCCTCTTAGTTAAGCAGAATATTGGTTGTTTTGCTGTCCTTCAGATCATCCTGTATGGGAAAAATGAATGTTAATCTCTTTGTTCCATTAAACTACTTTTAACTCCACTTCTGGTTCATGTTGTTTTCTTGGCTGAATTCTCCTTTATCCTTGACCTGCCATTGTGAAAGCAAGACCCGTTGCTATAAGATTTATTTATTCCTGTCACTCTCTGTGAGGTTATTCGAATGCACTTAGAACACATTGCTGGGATAGCAATAAGGCATCATCTCATGGTATCCCAAGCCTGTCTTCTGGGGCAATCACAGCTAGAACAAAGGGTCTCCTTCCTGTTGCTGGCTGCCTGCCCCAAGCTGCCTTTGATGCTCAGTATCCTTCCTGCAAGTCCTATCTTCATTTCAGGAAAACATTATTCCTATGTACTTAAGCTTCAGAATCTGTGGGAGAGGCTTCTCTCATTTTATTGTTGGCCTACCCTGACTGACACATACAGATCCACCGGCAATCATAGGAACACACCATCACACATCACACACCTACACAAATTCCACCCTCATTAGGTCAGGCAGTGTTAACTTTGTTGGGCGGTCTATATAGTTAGGGATTCCTGAAGCTGGAGCAACTGGTGGGCAGAGTGGAGGACGCAGCCTGCCTCCCCTTGGCTAGATTTAGTCTTCTCTAGGAGTTGTAACACTCAGACACTTCTAGGGCATATGTCTATGCATCATTCTCTCTCTTTCTCTATTTTTCCCTCTCTCTTCCTCTCTTTTTCCCTCTCTTCCTCTTTCTCTCCCTCTTACACACATACACATATCACTCTCCTTCTCTCTCATTGCCAAAGAAATAGTTTCATGAAATCATTTCAAATAGGAGGTGAGTTTTGAATTTTTAGCAATTACTAGGATAACACAAAACAGAAGAGGTATATATAATCATCTACAAAGCTGAACAAATTATCAAGCTATGAAATCTCAGGAATTAAAGGCTTCAAAAGTACCTATAACCACCATTCTACTTTCTAAATGAATCAAATATAGAAATAAGCACTCCATTGGGGTATTATTAGCCTTGGAGTATTATTAGCCATAAAGTATTATTTAGCCATAAAGAAGAGTGAAATTGGACTTGGAGTGTGGCTTAGTGGTAGAGTGCTTGCCTGGCATGCATGAAGCCCTGGGTTCAATTCCTCAGTACCACATAAATAGAAAAAGCCAGAAGTGGCATTGCAGCTCAGTGGTAGAGTGTTAGCTTTGAGCAAAAGAAGTTCGGGGACAGTGCTCAGGCCCTGAGTTCGAGCCCCAGGACTGGCAAAATAAAAAGAAGAGTGAAATTATGTCATTTGCAAGAAAAAAAAGTGAAACAAGAATTCACCATACTAAGTACAGTAAGCCAGACCAAAAAAAGAGACAAATACTGCATGTTCCTGTCATACGCAGACTCAATTTCTTTAAAATGAGTGACAGACAGGAATGTAAAACAGATTCTATCTGGGTATAGGTACCACCAAGAGAAGAGAGGGAGAAGGAAGGGGTAGATATGATCAAAGTGCTTTATATACATGTGTGCAAATACAATAATGAGACTTGTTGAAATTGTTTTAAAAGAGAAAATGAGGAGTCAGGAGGAGTGATGTGGTGAATTTGATCAAGGTTTATTGTATGCATGTATAAAAATATCACAGTGAAACTCCTTTGTACAGCTAATGTAGGCCAGGGACATATTTTAAAAAGTTAAGGTAACCCATAAATTAAATCTCTGCATCACTTCTAGTGCCCATTCTTTACTTCTCCTATAATCTGGCCTTCTTGATTTCTGTGTTTAGTGGTTCTGGGATATTGGAGATCTGACCCCAGACACAGAGACTGCTGTGCTAGTCAGCAAGGACACACTTTATCCCCTAGTGAACTGCTCGGTCCTAACATGAAAGAGGTATGGGGCAGTGACAGAATCTGGGTGATGCACAAGAACTTCAGATGGGTTTGGCAAGAGCTCTATGATATTTAGAAATCATCAGATAAAAATCATCCACCAAATCATTATGGGTGATGAGATGATGAGTAGCTGCCAAACTGGCAGGAGACATTGACATCCCCTCTGTCTGTTAGTTGTGAACCTGACCAGGAGGCTTCACAGTACTGCTGATCGCAATGGTGGGAACTCTAGCCATGACTCCAGAATGAATCATCATTAAATAGGTTAATTCTGGGTGGAGGTATATGCTTCATGCTACACATTAATTTGTGAAGTAAAACAAAACTCTTGTGGGTCCAACAGTTTAGAGTAACTTTGTAAAGTGAGTTTTATTGTGGAAGATACACATAACAAAGTTTAGCACGTTGAACATTCTCAAGTGTTCAATTCTGTGGCACTAATTCCACTTGCCATATTGTGTATCTTTCTTAAAATGTATGTATGCAATTAGATTTATGGAAGATGAAGAAAAATCCTGATACTACAATTAGCCAAATATAAATAGTGGTTATTTCTAGCTCACTTTAATAAGCATGTGTCCACAATAATTTACATGATATAGTGTGAAATCATCTTCATCTTTATAGTTTTTATTATAATATTTAAACTAATAGGAGCCAGACAAGATGTTGCTGAACTAGAAATACCTTTTTCACATACATTCTGCCCATCAAAAAATATTCCTGACCTTCTGCGCAGATCCACACGAGTAGCCCAAGGGAAGAGGCTGCTTGCCTCTTGAGAGAAACCATAGCATCTTTCCTCTCCACATACCCTCATCCAATTCTCAGTCTTCTCTTGCTCTTCTCTGGGAGACTCCAGCACACGCTCACCCAGTCAGACTAGGGCGCCTTCCAACCTTGACAGCCATGATATCTGATACCAGCTAAATCAGGACTTGTCCCCTTCTGGTCCTAGTTGGTTTGGGTTGTTGATTTTTTTCTTTACCCACAACAATTCTTTTCTGTAACTTGGCAGAATTAGCACCACACAAGTGCTTATACAAGTCACCTTCTCTTTTGCTGGCTGTATCTGCAAGAGCTATCCTGTGTCTTCGAGAAGTTTGGGAGCAACCTGAGGGTGGCTTATCTTTCTTAACTCTAACTGAAGGCTTCCAACCTTGAACCTGTCCCTTTCTCATCTAAACTCCTTAGAGAGTACAGGAGGTTAGGAATAGAAGACTCCACACCACCACACAACTTTCCCACAGAAAATATTGCAACAAAATGGTGGAATAGTTTTGCCACTGGGAAATAATATACAATCATTGATATATCAACAGTATATTAGCCTCTAGTTTATAAGCTATAAAGTCTGTTTTATTTTTCTATAACTATGTTTAAATTTGTATACTTTATTAATATATAATATACTAATAAATATATTGCTAATACATTTATTATTAGTATTTATTGTTATATATTATCTGTTTGTTATATTTACTAATATACATGTTAATAAGATGTATTAATGTGTTAATGTTTTACTATGTATTATTGATATATATTAATTGTACAAAGTAAAGAATTTTATTGTGACATTTTAATGATGCATATAACATTTTAATCACATTTACCTGCTCTATTACTCTCTTATCTCCCTCTCCATATGATCTCCATATGGTCTTTTCCATATCCAGTGGCTACCTCTTTATTTTCTAAACCTTCTTTATTGTTCTAAAGTCAACATAGGAGGGAAAAAATGTGACACTTTTGTTCATTGAGACCAGTTTATTTCACCTACATTAAGATCTCCAATTTAATCTATTTTCCTAAAAGCAATATAATTTTACTCTTTATGACTAAATAAATCTACAAAGTATTCACAAAAAATGAAATTAAATTAAATTAAAAAAAATAAAATAAAACAAAGCCCTGGGAGAAAAAAAAATAAATCTACAAAGTGACTATATACCATGTTTCTTTGTCCATTTATCCATGGGTGCACACTATGCTAATTTCATAACTTGGCTATTGTGAATAGTGCCACAATAAACTAGTATACAGGAGTCTCTATTGTAATATGACTTTTACATTGGGTGATAAATATATTTTTCATTAATTTTTTTGAAAGGCAAAGAAATTCAGAACATTTTGTTATAAATCAGCTCTGCTCATAATGATACCTTTATCATACAACTTCTACCCAAATATACTTGTTAAAAATGAAATCTCTGGGGTGGGTGGTGAGGAGTGTGGGAGGTGGGGGAGGGAAAGAATAGTAGGACAACAACAGGAAGGTAAGAGGTAACAATGATTGACAAGTAATGTACTCATTGCCTTACTCATGTAACTGTAGCCCCTCTGTACAGCATCTTTACAATAAAATAAAAGATTGAAAAAATTGAAAAAATGAAATCTCTATTTGGAAACCCTTAAATTCCTTGAGTTATCTTTATTTAACATCTCCACCATCCTAGGAATTAATGTTCCTATTATTGAACCAAAAAAAATGAATAATAATCTGGCAAAACCTATAATTTGTGTTACATGCACTGGCAAAAGTAGACCAACTTTTGTGACAAAAAAAAATTCCTTCAAAAGTCTATAGTAGAAATCTAATTTTGATCTATTACACAATGCATTATGGGTTGGCAGAGACTACCATTCATTTTAGCTCATGACTCATAATCCACAACAGTCACTCTTTCCTCTGTGTTCTACTATTGTTAGGACAGGGAAAGAAGTAGAAAATGAAGAACATTTTCACCTAACCCCCTGGACAATCTGAATTTCTAATGACATTGAATTATCTAGAAGTCAGTCACATGATCCTACCAACAACACATGTTGCATGCCCCAAGCTAAAAGAGAATATGGCATTGCTGAGCTCCCAT